CAGTGAGAAAAAATTATTTGTGGAAAAAAATATTATTTATTTATAAAAAAAAAGGTTAAAAAGTCAAAATATAGCTTAATCACGGGAAACCGGATAAATCACTTATCCGGCACTTCAAGCCGAATAATTACCGCTACCTACAAGGTAGCTAATAATATTGGAAATCAAATTTAATTTTCCCAATATAATAGTTATTCGGCACTTCGTGCCGAATAACTATTAATTATTAAATATTAGTATTTAATTATAATTTTACTGTAATTTAGACACAACTAAATTATTTTATTTAAAAATAATTAATAATTTAGAATGTAAGTTGTTTTTATTCATTATTAGTATTTATTTTACTTTTTAAAGTCAACTAATTATTTTATTTAAAAAATAGTTCATTTTAATAATACAATAAACAGTAAGTTATATTATTGAATATTATTATTTTAATTATATTTTTTACTATAATTTAAAATCAATAATTTTTTTTTAAAATAAATAATTAATAATTTAGAATGTAAGTTATTTTTAGATTGTTAATATTTAATTATACTTTTTATTATTATAGTAAAAAGTATAATTAAATACTAATAATCAATAAAAATTACTTATTATCTATTATAATATTAATTATTAATTATTTTTTAATTAATTAAAAAAGATCAAATTTAAAATTAAAGTTATTAAAATAAATTAAAAATCCGAAATTAAATGAAATAAAATAATCTTTTTATTTTTCGGATTTAATTTATTTAAGGTGTTCTCAGTATTGATTTAAATTGGTCCTGGTGCATGCTCTCAATCACTAGCCAATTACATTGAGGAAGATGCTTAGAACGCCTTTAATTTATTTTCTAATATAAGGGATATAATATATTAGGATTTAATTATTTTACAGGGTAAATGACCGACAATGATTTTATAAAATTACATTCTGGATCGGTCTTAGTACAGATTCAGCTTTATACCACAAATTTTATGTGCATAAAATCGATTATATTCGGTTAATCGAAATCGAAAATCGAATCTTAAAGTCGAATCTTGAGAAACGATAATCGCAATTAAATCGATTCTCAAATCGATTCTAAATATCGAAATCGATTCCAATCCCTACTTCCAACACATTTTGTTAATAGATTATGATTGATACTTTGTGGACGATTTAAATTAGTCACTTTATTGATGTTCCAATTTTTCCTAAATAATTTAAGATTTTTTTCTTCGCAATACCACATTAAAAATGTTTTTTTAGAGATAAAATTGGAGATGTATATCATTATTAGTCATTGGACTCGAGTCAAAAAATTTAACTCAAGTAGAGTCAGAAATTTTTTTGACTCGAAGAGTACCCGAATTAGAATTCGTGTCAGAATTCGAGTATAGAATTCGAGCATCTGACTCGAGTTAGCATTCGAATACTGTTTATTCGAGTATTAACTCGGGTTCAATTTTTTTCATGGGACGGCTATCGACTAATTTGGGAATTTAGCGAAATTAGAATTTATTAGCAAATAAATAACTAATATAACATTAAAATAAAATAATAAATGAAATTGTATTTTACATTTTGTAATTTAAATTAGGTTATATTAACATTTAAAAATATATACTGTATATATATATATTTTTGTAACCTATAAGATGCCATTAACTTAAATTTACATTAAATTTATGATTTATATTAATGCAATAATGATTTAATTAATATAAACTTACACATGAATTGTTTAACTTTTCAGGAATTTCAGTAAATTTTATTAATTTTCGCCAAGAAAAACATCAATTATGTAAATTCGATTATCAATTTTCTCGTGGAATAATATTATCAAAAAGACATATTTATTTTTTAAAAATAACATTTCACCTACTAACTCATCTAGAATTTTAAGAAATAAATTGTACGGTACCTTAATAAAGCGTTGTATGCACTCTAAGTCTATGTAGTTAGCTCGAGTAAGAGTTCGAGTAGTTAACTCGAGTATGCATTGAGCCAAGATTCGAATTAATATAATTCGAGTTTACTCGAATGCTTACTCGAAACTTGATTCGAGTCTAAAAATTTTGACTCGAATCAAAATTTAACTCGAATTCACTCGAGTCACACGAATACGAGTCCAGACTCTAATCACTATTCTAATATAGCGTTGACGTGTCGTGTCGATTGAGCCAAATTTGAAGTTTTAACTTTTAAATCTGGCTAAAACTTATAAGAAAATTTTGTCATAGTGCAAACCTAAAAGATGATTGTTTTATATCATATAAGAAGTTCATTATATAAATGTTAAAATATTTAATTTTATCAACTTTTAGTGAGCTTTTCTAAAAATTTAAAATTTTTATTTCAAAGCTCGGAACAGGGATTATGCAAATAAATAATATTCGGAAGATTAATAAAACAATTTTTTTTTTGTATTTCAATATTGATATAAAACGCGTCCTATTCTCGTATTTTGTCACTACATTATGTTATTATGTGAAATCATTTGACGGTAAACGCATTTCCTTCAATTAATGAATCGATGTCAGTTTTGGGCACTTATTAAAAAGAATCATTGAAAAACATTCCTCAAGTTGTTCAGATATGATACTGAAAATTTTATTTCATAAAACCAAAGCTAATTATATTACTCTCACCAAGAAGGCGGTGTAATATTTAAAAATGAGGACTTTTTCTATAGAATCTATCGTAGGCAAAATTAGTAAAGTAAATAAGGCAATTTAAAAATTTTTTGATTCGAACTCACTTTTATGCCAATATTCAAATATTCCATGCCACTTGTATTAGAATCTGCGCGATTCAGGAATTTTTTTTTTTTTTTTAGTAGTAAGGCATCCAATCATCTGGGATTTCTTTATGTTCATGAGAGGTACCCGCTGCTCGCTGGAAATGTCGATTGACTTTCTCATTTTACCTGCTAGTCATTTGTCAGAAGGTCGACATCGATTTTTAAAAGAAAAAAAATAAAACTGGTTTCTAATGCGCAAACTACATATTTTCAAGAGATTTGGTACTTCGGGCCAAAAAATCTTGCGATCTTTCTTTTCCTCTTCAGATCGGATTATTTTATTGGTGATTCAGTTTCGTGTACGGTCGCTTCGGAGCATTGCGATCAAATATTTATTTTCTTACCTTTTTTTTTTTTTTAGAATCAGCGCATTTTCTTTCCTTTAGGTTCCTCTTTCACGTTGAACACTTTTGCAAGTATGCAAGCGATAGATGGTTTGATATTTACTGTATGTGATAGGTAGATTTTTGTTCTTTTAATTAATTATTATAATTTGTTTTATTAGGTTCGGTTTGTGGTTTGATGCGGTGTCTTTTTTTTTTTTTTTTTTTGACAAATATTTATTTTTAATCGGCCTCGACTCGCATAAGTTTTTTATTTATTTTATTTTATATAGGTAAAGATTTTCTAATTAAATTATTATTTTTTTTTCATTTCCGGGCACAGCAACTGAATGAATTATTTTTTTTTTTCGAATTTTGTGCTCTTTAAGTTTTTCTTTCGAGGTGATTTGCTTCAAAAAGTTTTGGACAGTGAGGTGGTGAAAGTGGTCGAGTTATGGTATCCCTTAGTGATATTTTAAGAAGTCCCTTGCACATTGTTTCAATTAATTCAATTTATTCAATTATAATTATTCAATATACTGTACGTACTCTTTCTTAAACAATATGTAGTTAGAATATGCAAATTGATTTCTTATGACGGTACTTTATGATATCATTTTATCCAAATGTTTAATAAAAAATTGATTAATTCATAATATTGGAAACGGGATTTTCGTCATTTACATAATGACTTTGTTGTAATTTTCGTTGCATTAAATTAGTTCATGATTTTCGTTCTTTTGAAGTTTTGTGGAATTTAAATCTAAAAAGTAAGTGTAACTTAATTAACCAATTTCAGAAAGCATTTAACTTTATTTGGTAAGACAAGAAACGGTTAGATCCGTTTTAAGCTACCCGAGCAGACTCGATTATTTAAAGGAGAAATATTCTACGATCATCTCACTCTCTTTCTTTCTCTCTTTTTAAGAGGAAATATTGCTATTGGAAAAATTGAAAAACGAGACTGAGCAAAAGAGAATTTTTATTGGTAATTTTTTGAACAATAAAATAACCATCCGAACAAATTAAACTATTAGAAAAAATTTCAATCAAAAAAAAAAAAAAAATGGTTTTAAAGAACAATTTTGAAAAGTCCTTAAAAGAATTGGAAACGAGAATTAAGGAGTTAGAGCAAAGCAACGAAGGGTTACGTACAAAATTCGAATATTTCGAAGCAAAGGTCATAGAGCGAGAAGAAGAAAACAAATCCAAGCAAGAAATTATTAATAAATTAGAAGAAAAGGTTAAAGAAGAAGCCATAGCCAAGCAAGTAGTAATTAACAATTTTAAAGAAAATATTAGAGAACGAGAGGAAGTATTCAAAGAAAAGCAAGGAAATAATAATGAATTAGAAAAGAGGATCAGAAATCTTGAATTAATTATCTATGATATTACAATTGATAGTTTAACTATTACCGAATATAATAAGGATGATATATTAAACACCTTAGGCGGATTGCAAAGATATCGAAAATTAACAAAACTATGTTTTGAAAATTCTAAAATAACTAGCTTACCAACTTTGCCTAACACCTTAGAAACACTCCGGTGCAACAATACTCCCATATCTAGTCTACCTACTTTACCAAACTTCCTAACTGAACTCCACTGTTTCAATACTCAAATAACTATCTTACCAAATTTACCTAACTCTTTAAAGGAACTCAATTGCTCTGAAACTCAAATAACTAGCTTACCAACATTACCTGACTCCTTAATGAAACTACTAAACTACTTTGCTATGATACACAAATAACAATCTTACCAATTTTACCTAACTCCTTAACGAAACTCTGGTGCCGTAAAACTTCAATAACAAGCTTACCAAATTTACCCAATTCCCTAACGACACTATACTGTGATAATACTCCAATAACCAGCTTACCAACATTACCTGACTCCTTAAAGGAACTTTATTGCTATGGAACTCAAATAACAAGCTTACCAACATTACCTACCTTCTTAACAAAACTCTCGTGCTCTAAAACTCAAATAACCGACTTACCAACTTTACCCGACTCTTTAATGGAACTTTATTGCTATAGAACTCAAATAACAAGTTTACCACCTTTACCTATCTCCTTAACAAAACTATCGTGTTCTAAATCTCATATAACCAGCTTACCGACATTACCTAACTTCTTAATGGAACTTTATTGCTATGAAACTCAAATAACAAGCTTACCAACATTACCTGACTCCTTAACGAAACTTTCCTGCGAAAGAACTCAACTAATTATCTTACCAAACTTACCTAACTCTTTAAAAGAACTTTATTGCTATGAAACTCAAATTACAAGCCTACCAACATTACCAAACTCCTTAACGAAACTCTCGTGCTACGAAACTCAAATAACAAGCTTACCACCTTTACCGAACTCCTTAAAAGAACTTTATTGCTACGGAACTCAATTAACTAGCTTACCAACATTAACAGACTCATTAACTTATCTTGACTGTGAAAGTCCTCAAATAACTAGACTAATTCCTTAACAATCTCGTTATAACAATTCAGTTTTGAATTCGAGTCTAGCCGTTTTGAATAAATCCGGTTCCAAATTTTTAGAACAAATAAAACGAAATGCAATCCAGTTTCCGATTTACCAAAAATAATCTTAGAAAAAAATTTGGATAATGTAGTTCTAAAGACGATAATATACTAACTATTATCGTGATCAGGTGACATTTCATATGATCTAACCTTTTTTTTCTATTGGCTTTAAATAAAGAATCTTTTTAAATCTCTCGTATTTGTAGTTTTTTAAATAATAAAATTTAACTTGTTCAATAACCTTTTGATTTTAAGACTTTCGTTTTTATTTTCAAAATCCTTTTTAAAGAATTTTTAGTATTCAAATTTTTATAAAACTGTCTAATTTGAGATTTTTTTTTTTTTGTAACAATAAGGATAAAATTTAGTTCGTCAATAGTTAAAAATTTACCAATTTTAATTGGCTACTTTATTATGTTCATTTAATATTAAAAATAAATAAATAAAGTTCAGAAACTCAATTCCCGAATTTTGCATTTTATTATTGGTTTTTGAATTTATAGTACAGCACTTCAAAATTAGGGTCAATTACAGTTCGCTTGTCGAGTTATAGATTTGTGTGCTAGTAGAGAAATCGATTATACAAAATCGAATTAATCGAATAATATAAATCGAATCATTTTTTAGTGGCGCAGAACGTACGACTATTTTATTTAAAAAAAAAATAAACAATACCCTAAACATTTTTTGTTATCATTCGTGATATATTATTATCAAATTTAATTGAAACGATTGTATTAGAGATTTCTGACTCAACAATATCCTATCACACTCTCAATAATAATTTAATTCCCATCCTTATATCGTTTGCGTGGTCAAAATTCGTGCTCCGTGATCATAATGCTTGTCTACATAACAAATTTAATGCCGCTTGACCAACAAATTTGTTAACATACTAGCAGTCCCTACATTCAGAGATGCTTCAATAAAAAAATCGCAAAGCAAATTATATATATATATTTTTTAATAACTAATTTATTTTCCTTATGTTATTTGGTAATTTCGTGATTAAAAAATTCTGCGCCTCAAATAAAATCAAGTTACCTCAGCTGTCACTTGGAAGAAAAACTACGGCGGATATCTTTTAAAGGGCCAAAAATCGGCTAGAATTTTCATTACGCACATCAACAAATGAATACAATAGCGTTATAATATTGAACGAACTTAAAGTAAAAATCCATAACCTTCTTCCAAAGTCATATAACGATAACCTATCCTAATGACCTTAAGTCAGAAGTATGCGATTAAAAGGTTTTCAAGGTATATTTAATTCCTTCGTCTACAATTATCAAACGAACAATGCACATAATGATTCGGGCTGATTATAATTTTTATACTAGTGTGTGTTTTTTTGTGCTACATCGGCAAAGGACTATTGTGGTAAAGTTTCCCACGGGGTTGATGCATAATTAGGAAACCAATCAGTAATTTTTTTTCGATTTTATGCAATTTTTTTTTTTTTTTTCAAAAAAAATCTAAAATTTTCTTTAAAGTTCGTTAAGTTACCAAACCATCAAAAATGAGCAATAAAGAAAGATACCAACCTACACCTAACCAACAGTTGCAACAGCGAATACAGCAAGCACGACAACAATTACAACAATTGCAACAAGAAATACAGTTGATGCGACAACGAAAAAAACAATTGATAATCATAATATATGTATTGCTCTTTATAATAATTATATTATTGCTATGGATTTTATATCTCATCTAAGGTAAATTTACGTCATTTTCATTTAAGTAATTGTTATTATTGAAATTCACAATATTGACTAACCATTTTCTATCGATCGAATAGGAAAATGTGAAGAGAATTTGGTTTAATTATAAAACATTTCTTTTCTTCTTATGTCAAATGATAATTTTTTTGAAAGGAGGTTTTTCACAATGTCGTCTGCCATTAATGATAGATTCCTTTATAAAATCTCCCAACGTTTTATTCACATACCTAATTTTAAACTTTATACACCACACACAAATCCTCGTTCATATATATTCTAATTCCTTACATTCAATTCATTTCACGATCCCAATCGCAACCTTTTGAGTTTAATTGATTATATATGATCAATCCACTAGTCCGTGATGAAGATTTGAAGATGAGGTCGGGTTGTGCTTTGGGTCATCAGTATATCCCTATGATTCGTTTATCATTTTCCGAGGTGAATATATAAGATACGTTCACAATTATCTTTGCTTCTCAATGTAAAAATTTATGATATTTTGCGAATGAAAAACTTCAATTTGAAGCTTTAAAATGAAATAATCCAGTAAGTGATGAAAAACAATTTATTCTTGGGTGTGAGTCATAAAATTAATTCCATTCCAAAAAAATTAATATTTGTCTCAATTCGTATAACATTCGAACCGACATTATAGCGCGTATTTAATTCCAAAGTAGCTTATTCATAAACACTGTAATATTGTTTCAAACAATAAACTTTTTGTTTTTCTTTTCTTTGTTTTCAAGAACTAATAATTATTCAACGGGACTCTGCGTTCGTATCGCATTTTTACAAACTTTGGTTATATTATTTACGATTTCGCGTTTTATTAATTGACGTGAACAAAAAAATTGATAAAGTAATTGTGCATAAGAGTTTTTTATGATTGGTTGAAATTTTTATTGGAAATTTGTATTTTGCGCGCCCTACACAAAATGCACTCATGCATATTTTTTTTTATGCACGTATAGTAAATGATTAGATATGAATTTTACATGGGTGTGATACATCCCATGCGTAGTTTTTTTGATGCGCTGTCCATATGATCATGTGCACGATCATTTATCTTTTAAATAAATCAATTGTTTAATCAATTGTGTACACGCTTTTTTTCTTTCTATCTCTCTTCATTTTATTCTCTCTTTCCCTATTTTTTTTTTTTTTATAATTATTGTTGAATATCCTTAAAATGAGCGATTTAGAATCACTTTCAGTGATATTCAGATAATGAAAATTTTCCTAACGATTTTATCGAAAATATTCTAGATGATAGTGAAAGTGGGCGTCCAAAAGGAAGACCACCAGATACTGCAAGATTCAAAGGACTTCTAATAATGTTAACAAACTCGCAAATGTGGTTTATGCAATGAAAGTGGACATAATCGTACTACATGTCCAATGAATATCAATCGAAAAAAAGAAAGAATGATGATTAATATTTAGAATGTTTAATTAATATGTCGCCGGGAAGGCAAAAACTAATTTTTATTTTTATCAACGCTTGGGAAATGAATGCTATTTGCTATTTGCTTATTAGACAAATTTGGTAATGAAAGTTTAGGGGTGCGTACAAAAAATCAAAATGCATTGCTTAAATTTTAACAATAACGATAAAATTTTTAAAAATTTTTATACCATGCGTAAAAATATTGTATTTTAAAACCTTACATGTATCTTTCGCACCCCTGCATTTTGCGCAGGTGCGTAAAATATAAAACCCATTTTTATTATCGCGCGTAATTTTAATTAACTTTAAATTATTTAAATAATCTTACTATATTGGTTTTAATGAATGATTTATATAAATATATCTTAATAAAAGATAATTAATATAGTGGAGAAGAATTGAAACAAATTATCAAGAAATTTTAAATCAATTAATTAGTTAATTGATAAAATTAAAAAAATAACTATATTTTTTATATAAATCAGAGACAATTAAAAAAAAGTCAATTTATGTTGCTATAGAATTTAAACAGATTTAATTAGTTTTTTTGATGAATTATATGAAGGAACTAATTCTTATACAAAATCTGATAAAACAAATAGTAACAATCAAAAAAAGTTATGTTATTTTTTAGTAAGTGTTAATAATAAATAAAATAATAGAATTAAAGTAGATATTGGATCATATTTAGAAAATTCTTAAGCAAATTCATCATAGGATTGTCAGTATTTTGAAAAATAGTTAATCAAAAAAAACTCATATTTCAATTGATTACTAATATATTGTAAATAATATAGTTTATAATATTTTAAAAATATATTTATATCTAATATTGATGGCTATTAAAATATTTATCAATTAAATCAATCAATTATATTAAAATCTATAATTTAATTAATTTAATTAGAGCTTTAAACAGGTTAGATTGGAACAAATAAATCAAATTACCTAATCTGAAGGATTGAATCAGATTAAGCAAAAATTTAACCTGATTTAAATTTCTATTTAAACTGATCTGACTTAATATAATCTGATTGAATATTTTAACAATTTATTATTATTCAAGAAGAATAATACATTATCATTTTTTTTGAATAAATTACTATTATTTTAATTGAATAATTTATTATCATTTAAGTGAATGATTTATTATTATTAAATTAGAATAACTTTTGATATTAATCATTTTTATTTAGAAAGTATTGTAAAAATTTAAATAAACTTTCAACATTTATATAAATGATATTATAATAAAATATTACTTAAATTTTTAATTGATGTGTTTTATTAAATAATTAATAAATAACATTTGATATTTTAAAAAATAATTTAACAATCTTTAATGGTTATTTTATATTAAAAATTTTATATTCTTTAAGAAATCAAATAGCTGAATCAATTCTGATAAAAAATTATTTATAAACAAAAATTATTAATATTGAAAAAAATAATAAATACTAGTCAAAATAGTCTAAATATCTAGAAATAAAATAGCTAAATTTAGCTAATTTTGATATTATTTATAACTAATTAATTATATTTTTTAATCTAAATTACTATTGATTGATGCTGATCAATAGAGTCATTTAGCATCAATTTAGAATTTATAAATTATCTTAAATTACTTCAATTTAACATTAATTTAACATTAATTTAGAACTTAAATTTAATCATAACTCAGTTTAAAATACTATTAATTAACTCTGATTAGATAAATAATTTAACATTAATTCAAAACTTAAACGATTATAAATCAGCCTAAATTTGACTTAAATTTAGTATTAATTCAGTTAAATAAATATATATAATCAATATATTTTTATTTAATTAATTTTTTAAATATTATATTTATTAATAAAAATAAACTATATCAAAATCCATTAATTAATTTCTTATTAAAAAATATAAACAAAATATATGATGTAAAAGAATAATAAATAATAATAAAATAATAAAATATAATCTATTTTCTTCTTAAAATTCCTTGAAATTGTCTTAAATCTTCATCATCATAATATTATTAATATTTAAAAAATAATAATATAATAAAATTATTATTCATTTTCTTCTAAAATTATTTTAATATTTGTTATTATAAATATGTATTATTCAAAAATATAAAAATAAATAATTAAAATAATAAAGAATATGAATATGATATAAATATAATCTATTTTCTTTCAATATTTCCTAAAATTATCTAAAAAATATACAAAATAATAAATAAATAAATAAAATAAAAAATCTATTTTTTCTCACTAAATCATCTAAAATTATTTTATTTTATTATAAAAAAATAAAAAAAATTAGTTATTATTTGAAATGTTGTATTTGTTAATTGATAAATTTTAATTTAAATTTTGATACATCTTTATCTGATTTTGATAGTTGAGAATATTATTTATAATTTTATTTCTATTATAAAAAAGTAAAATGTTAGTTTATTATTTGAAAAATTATATTTTAATATTAGTTATTTTGTAATTAAAATTTTATTATAAAAGTAAAATCAGTATGATAGTTGTAAATGTTTTGTAATTTTATTTCTATTATAAAAAGTAAAAAAATTGATTTATTATTTGAAAAGTTGATAAATTAATAGAAAAAATACAACTTATATTCTTTTTTATTCTTAGAATAATTTTTTGTTAATGTATTAATAGCAAAAAAATAAAATTTGAAAAAAATAAAATTTATTTATAAAAAAAAATAAAGTTTAGTTAAAATTATTTTTGAAATAAGTAAAAAAATTAAACTTAATTATATAATTTATCAGATAATATATTAAATCAATATAGATTTAAAGTAAATCAATAAAAATTTATCAAAATAATTTATTATAAGGTCAGGCAAAATAATTTTTAGATTCTTGTGACATAAAATTTTAAAATTAATATAGTCACACTATTTTTTTTATATATAAATTTTTTTATATATATTTTATATTATATTTTGTATTATGCAAATAGTAAGGTAAATGAAGAATATTACTATTATTATAATAAGTATTATATGATAATTTCTGATAAAAAAAAAGTGCTAAATATCAAGTTTCAAATATCAAAAAATCACGAAAATAGTATGTTAAATTTTTATAATAAAATATAAGCTATTATGATTTTTTATTATATAAAGTCATGTGATAAAAAATTTTACTATAAAAAAAAGAATTTTTGTAAAAATTAAAGCAGTTAGGTCACAAGAATTTAAAATATTTTTTGCCTGACCTAATAAT